AACGATTTAATATATTGTAAATTACCTATCTCCTGAATTGTTGTATGAGCATCATTAGTAGTTTTCATGAACCACGCCTTTCCCTGTACCTACCTATATTATACTTATTGATACATTAAACATAGAATATGGCATAATATGCCGTTTTAGACAATAAACACCATGTCTGCTGTCTGGTATCACATAATATGCAAACTAGGTCAATAACAAAGTATTCTGTTAGTGACCTCCAAATCTATATATCAACCGACTGTTCGATTAATTGTAAGTCAATATAAGTTCTACAAAATAATAATCAAAACAATTGAGCGTTCTACACGCAAAAACGATATAATATAATACGCGTGCTTTTAATCTTAACTCTACGTGTACGATTTCGTTGATATTGTAACTCGGAAATAATATACGAACGTACTACGTATACACGATGATAAAAAACATCAAGGTTAATATTATCCGAATTACTGTTTTCAACTTTTCAACCGAGTGTCAGATGCTGCTAAGCTTAAAGTTACCAAACATAATATATTAAAATTTATTTTTATTTTTACACATYTTAATAATAAAAATAATGATAAATCAATCGAGATGATCGCATAACACCACGTCAATGCGTTGCTATGAAAGCGATACCAGCGGTAATCATAACAGTGCGTGTATGCTGCCATCGTTAATTCCACTGTTGAGCAATGATTTTGCATTGACAATGACCCAAATTCTTTCGTTTTAGTCGAAGTCGAATAGAGGCGGACGTCGTCATCGTGTGCAGTTCAATTTAGATGGCCAGTACCTACACCCACTACACGTAGCGCATACGAGATAAATAATATTATGTACATTGTAATGTAGTACTGAAAACACACGAATATAACAAAAAACGTAATAAAATATGTGAATATTGTAAATAAAAATTATTATTATACGCTTTCACCGACCACACAATGCGCGTACAGATAGCGCTCAAGGCGACGGTATCGATCGCTGCCGTCGCCACTGCACATTGACTGTTCGATTATACCGAGCCACWAACACGCGCACATTCCGGGAAAGGCTGTTGCACCGGTGCACCAACGTCCGTAACTCATTGAGGTGAAAAAAAATCGAAAAATTATAATAATACACTAATATTATAATATTACACTTAATGTTTCYAACGACTAACCAGAGATTCTCAGTACCTATGCGCGTTGATGCTACTTGAACTCGAATTTCCGCAATTTTTAAAAACTAAATACATTTTAATCAAAAATTAACAGGCRTACATCATAGAATATAACAACGCTGAACAATATAATTACATAATAAATTATATATTGTTATATATGTGTTGATTAGTCATCCAACGGGAATATTACACGAACCGTTATGTGTATACATCCGGTCAGGGGCTAAATGGCATATCGGAAAGTCGGCCGTCTTAAAAAAAAAWACAAATGGCTCGAATTCTRAATTTCTGACACGTTACAAGAACGGTAGGGGGTTTACTTAGGGACATTTGATACAMGGAAACGATTTGATTATAAACGACAATATCATAAATCATAATATTATTATCACAAGATAAAACTGATTTCCTAGTTACAACTTCAGTCTGTAGTCTGACTACCATTTAGGTCGGGTTAGGAAGTTMTGCGTTTATTTATTAATTTTGGTATGTAGTATGTACTACATGTCTAGATATTATACTTAAAGATGTGTAGTTGTTTTTAGTAAGGTTTGGCTAAACGTATAAGTGTGATCGCATTGAAAAGGATTTTCGTTATACGGACTGCACACGTACCTTCTAGATAATTGTATGATATTTTAGCATAGAAAGGAATCTCAGCTAAGTAGTGATTTTTAGAGCTATTCAGACATAGAATTGATAATTCTATATTGTTTTGTTAATTAATAAATTAAAGTAATAATATGCATTGCCAATAGCGACAAAGACACCAGTGAATCACTAAGTTGCCTACATAGGTATTTAGMAATGGTGTAACTACGTCGTAATTCAAGTTAAGTGTCAAGATACATCATTAAAAGTTTAAGATACAATGCAAAAATGAAGAACGGAGTAGAGAAAATCGGAGAAAGCGAAAAAAAAACTTTTTAAGGAAAATAACTGTCATTACTCATCAATAAACGTTTCCAAWACGAATAAAACCTCCTTCGCATCACATGACATGCTCGAGCATTATTTCAAATTTTAACTTCAACGACCACTAACCAGTTATTCAACGTTTATAAACTATTTAATGAGAATCAATATTCAATATTATTTATAGAGAAGATAAGACTTTTGGAGTTGGCTAACACCTTATGGTAACTCTTTATTTAATGTTTTTGTTCGATGTTATTAGTACAAGAAATAACTCATTTGTACTTTGCATACTCWCCTCATATAATCTATTAAACTACAATAGGCATATYGTATACAAAAACTATGTTAACGATAAAATTAATAAACTGTCAAAACGCGTGTGCTACATAATTAATAATACTCGTATTTATCATTATTCGCATCATACTTGTATTTATAATTATTCTAAGTACTTAGCTAGTTGGAATTTGGATTGAACATATTAAAATTAAAGGTTATTCGAATGAAATCTGATATGGAATTGCAATTGAGTTTAAATTATGTTTTGTAATAATATTTTATTATGATTAAAATCTTAAGCCGTTAGCGGTATATTTTCAATGATATATATGCAATTATTGTTTATTGTTATGATATTAGGTTATTTATTAACAATATACGGTAGGCGGAAGCAGATGAGCGATCTTGAACTTTTCTATTCGCTCATCCTATTGCCAACGTGCAATTAAAAATATATTAAGTACTTATTTCTGATGTCATTATATAGAGACGAGGTAAGCATATACATATTATGCATAAATTAATTAATCGACTGCCGTTTATATAATATCACTGCCCCGTAATAKTCGTAAGCATACATCACACGAGACCTGTTCTCAATTTTCGCCACCACCGTCCATATATAAATTATAATTTTTAAAATAATAATATAATGTGTATGCAAGGAAAAAGGGTCGATATTAAATACGATGTTTTTGCGCTACAACCGTTTTATGACATGATGAGAATGCAATTCGTATAGTGCGTGTTTTTTTTCGTTACCGTACACTCGTTCCTCTATATATTGGACCAAAATAAATAAAAGTGCATTGGGCGTAGTTGCCAAAAAAAAAAAAATAATAATAATAGTAATAAATATTATACATTAACAATGATATACACGCGTGTGTGTGCATCCGTCCGACGTGAACACACCGCACCGACAGAGAGAGGTCAACGGCTATGATAGTTATCCAACTATGACAATTTAAATACGAAATGCAAAAATGTAATGATAGTGCAGTATAATAAGTAATAAATACGAACTTTTATTCTTTGGTTAGAAATGAATAAGATTTTATCARATCCTATATTTGTTTTCATATAGGCATTTTTAAGGGAAACTTGAGAGATTAGCCACCACGACTACAGTGCCCTCCAAAAATGTAAAAATATTTTGATCTAAGAAATTTATTTCAAAAAAATATTAAAACATCAACCTTTCCGGTTTTATTCAAACTTTAACTTGACTATGGTAAGTATAGTAGGTACTAGGTATACCACATTCCTCAGCGTAACGCGACAGATCATTTCCGATTATGAAACAGATTAGGAAACAAGTATACAAATAGGTGTAGGGTGATTAAATACATTTTAGAGGCGCTAAGTCCCACAAATGTGCACATTTAAATTTAAAATGTATAGCGAGACTACAACTGTAGCACACTCCCGATATGTTTGATTACCCTATACGCTTATATATTTGTTTTCTTACAAATAGTTTCGAGGCAGACAATGTAAGTACACGCGTGAAAAACTCATTAAATCCAACGAAACTTAATTGGCATACATGGAGTACGGCAGTTATTATATAAATGCTATTAAACTTTAAAAAACGTGACCTAAATTTGTTACCGTAAAAAAATAAATTGGTTATTTTATTTAAATTGTCGGATTATGAGAAAAACATAAGTTAAACATTGTATTACAGTCATTACACGCCATACACAGTATTATTATACACGGAATGTAACGATAACACAATTAAATGTGCCCTAAGTATGGGGGCAGATTAAGAGGTTTGTTAAAAAATGTATATAGAACATTTCCTAGCATATCCTAACAAAGTTGCATTCGTGGACCAAACAACGCATACCTATTATATAAGTATACCTAAGTCAAGTGTGTACTTTATAAACGTATCACCCGTTTAATTTAGTTTGGTAATGTTTAAACTATATACAAATAACGAGCCACAGTGTAACTTATTACTTGTAGTAGCTAATATTTTTCTCATTAAGTTTAATTTCAAGTTATAATTATCAAATAATCTCTRAAAAACCTATTTACTTCATATAAATTTACATATTTGTTATTTTTGATATTATGTATATAGATTTTAAAGCCAATTAAGGATTTAGAAGCTGTGTTACACGTGTACCGTTTACATTAAAGTAAATAATAATAGGATGATGTATATAGAGYTAAAACAGCATTAAATACAAGAACACATATTATATATAAATATATTTATCATAACATATTATGTATGATATTAAAAAAATGTAGCAAATAATATTTTTTTTATAATTGTTTGTGAAGTATATAAACTACACAATACACATATTACAATAATAATARTAACTGGTAATAATATTATAAAAATTAACATTGAAGAACTTATTTATAGGTACAATGCAAGAAGAATAAAAGTGTTTTATTAATAACTATTAAAACGTAATACACATTTTGAATTTGTTTATTTTACATACTATATAGAAGTAATTATCAATTATTCAATTCTTTGCTAAAAGTTGTAACCCATGGTACAATGTTATTTACACAACGATTAGACCAAACTACAAAATATTATACTAAATGTTGCACTAATCTCTTATACCTACGCTGTTATCAAAATTTAATTCTAGTTAGTACGTACCACGTTGTTGATGTAGATAAATTGCTCGAAAATTCACTTGTTGTAAATTTACGAAGGTCAATCCTGAAAAACAAAAATGAAAATGTTATCATCCAGATTTTAAGCCATCCAATCAACGTATTAGAACGCGTGTGGTTTTGTTTATCAACAATTTATAGTAAAGTCAATTTGATTGGGTTATTAAACATTATAACTTTAAYATGATAATAATATTCTAAGCGGTATATATTATTATTAAACTTGTCAAACTTGAATATTTTACTAATTATTTATTACACACATAATAGTATAACACCCATGAGAAATAACGTTCAAAAAATTTTTATTTTATACACCTTACCTAAATTTGTCGAATGACAATATTATAAGTTATGTTTTCTTTCTATTAAAGCCTTTAGTGATATATATGATGCGTAAAGTTATATTATTCTTTACGAGAATAAAATGTCAAAATAGGTTAATTCTAAACTGAATTGCGATGACGATCACAAATTAGTGTCGTTGCTCGGGGATGAAAAAACGAATACTTTACTTCCGCAAAGTTTAGATAATAATATAAA